GCTTTTACTAATGGCGGTGAGTAGATATTTGTAACATATGTTAGTCACTTATTTACTTTATAGTTTTACAATTTTACCGTATTTAAGTGTTTTTTGCATCATTCAGTTTCTAACGAAGAACTAGTTCCGTGTTTATACCACCCATAGAATTGCTCCTTAAAATGTGTACCAGAGTAAACATTGAATCACTTCAACATCGCGTTCTAGTATAAAAACATGTTTGAGTTTAATATACCGGTAAGTTCTGCAACTATTAGAGTACAGAGGTGGCACAGTCGTTTAGACGCCGAAATTCGTGGAAGGATTGTCCCTTGGTCCAGAAACCTAGTTTCGTAGACGCCCCGTTTCCATGTTGCTAGTTTTGTTAGTATCATACCCCTGCTTCAGTTCGAGCTTTCTTCACACGTTAATCCTACACGCCACGCCATGATATATAGAATCTGAATGCTCTTAAAAACAGTTTAAAGCACACGTACACACTGTAATTATTAATCATACGATTCCAAAACTGTTTTTTCATAAACCGTTGAAGGTCTGCGATTGTTGAACACTTGATTCAACGGTGGAAGTCTATTTACTTCCACGATCTTCCCCATTGCGTAGATCAATGCTCAGGATGTTGATCACTGGATTGTCTGGTCCAGACTCTAGTTTTACGACGCCGCCATATAGCTGGAATATTGCTAGAAAAAACTAAACCGGGGGACTCCAGATCTTATCGGCTTGTTAACGACTGCTGCCCAATGAAAGGCAACAAACCGACATCAATCGACACTATGTCAATGTCCGGGTCTTTAGGCGTGACAGTATTCCAGCCGGGGACGCTTTAACCATCTAGGCTGACCCCTGAGTTCGGTTTTACGCCGCTTTTACACTATTACCCCAGCGCCCCCGTAATATGTCAACGTCCGTTCATCGTTTGAATTCGTTAGTATGGTTCTACCTATTTTCAGCAATATTCCTGCCATGCCTAGAATGCGCTTCACCTATTGTACCATATGGGAATCGAACTGGGGTATTTGGTGAGACGGGCAGGGGTCTGAACTAATTGACTACCTAATCGCCTGATTCATCGATACAGAAACAGTTGAGTTACAACCATACATAACATACGACGAAGTACAAGATACGTTAAATCCATGAATCATTAAAATGTAATGTTTAAATTCTGTATTTTTAAAATTTAATGTTGCATGTTTAAACCCTGCAGAATGGTCAAGGCATAAGCGACTATTCGACAAACCCAAGGAACAGTCGAAGAGTGAAGGATGTCCAGTCAAAGGTATGGGCTTCCAATATTCAATTTCACTCCGGATATAACGATTTCGGATAGATCAAACAGTCGGCTACAACCTATTTTTTCTTAATGTTTAGCTTCGAAATATTCAGGTCATATGACGGCAGTCTGTAGATGTACAAGAACCTTAACTGATGTTATGACTGACTGATTGACTGAGTTTGGTTTTACGCCGCTTTTAGCAATATTCCAGCAACAATCACGTGGCGGGGACACCAGAAATGGGCTTCACACATTGTGCCCATGTGGGGATTCGAACCCGGGTTTTCGGCGTGACGAGCCAACGCTTTAACCATTAGGCTACCCCACCGTCCCCTGATGTTATGAGCATCTATTCACCCAACTGCAGTGGGATAACTTGACATGTAATCCACCGGCGAGGCTAGCCTCCCGATCCGTTAAGTAAATGAGTGAGTATGGTTTTACGCCGATTTTAGCAATATTCCTTCGGTGTGACGAGCAAACGCTTACCACCCCTCCTGGTCTGTTTACTTGCCTCCTGAGTTGCTGAGTACCAGGTGTAACCGGATCATCATGGAGTTGCAATATCGCACTCAACTGTCATTCTACAAGAGCCGATTACATAATGTGTACGGTGTACACAAAAAGAAACTTCACATTCTTTCTTCAGGGCACTATAAAAGAACAAGAGATGGTAAGATGGTTAAATTGTTATTATTTCATTGCTGAGATCTGTGTGATGTACTCGATACACTGACAGTGCCATAATCAGTTCCATTAGGCTACACCGCCGTTCCAAAACATGGGTATACAGAATGTCAAGTCACAAGAATAAAAATGCGAAATTTCTCAGTTCAATATCGTGTATGGCCGCCCCGCGCATTCACCACTGCCAAACACCGTCTCCTCATCGACTGCCTGATGCTTGTGAACACGTGGTTGGGGATTCTGCGCCATTGCTCTTGCAAGGCAGCGCCAAGTTCCTGCAAATTCTGAGGTTGGTTCCTAAGACCACGAAGCCTTCTCCCAAGTGCATCCCAAACGTGCTCCTATTGGATTAAGGTCAGGGGACCTCGATGGCCAGTCCATGACGTTGATTCCAGCGTTTTGAAGGAAATTTCGTGTCAACATCGCGGTATGCGGCCGAACATTATCATGCTGGGACTGTAGACCTGGGCCATGAGCCGCCATGAAAGGAACGAGTTCAGGGGTGAGCACCTGTAAGCAGCAGCTGTGAGGTTTCCACGGATGACCAGAAGTCGGGAACGGTTGTTCCCACAGAAAGCACCCCCACACCATGCAACTTCCGCCCCCGAATCTGTCGACCTCCTGTACACAACATTGGGCATACCGTTCACGACGTCGTCTCCAGACTCTATGCCTGCCGTCCGCGAATCTGAGGGTAAACCTGGATTCATCGCTAAAGACGACTCGATTCCAGTCTCTCTGGGTCCATCGGAGGTGACGTTGGGCCCACAGCAGACGTTGACGTTGATGAAACGGCGTCAATATTGGCCCACGATATGGACGTCGAGAATGGAGATTGGCAGCCCGCAACCGATTTCGAATGGTCTGCGAGGACAGTCGACCTCTAAACATCTCAGCCCTGGTTCGTGTAGCCGGCAGAAATCTGTCACGTAGGTGACGTAGGACGATTTGACGGTCTTCTGCTCGTGACGTCACACGTGGTCGACCCGACCTTGGGCGATCAGAAGTGGTGCCAGTTTGTTGTAGACGACCTCGCAAGTCATACACAGTACGACGGCTGCATCCCATTGCTCTTGCGACGTCAATAACTGATCTTCCCGCTTGCAACATGCCAACGGCACGTTCACGTTGCACATTTGACAATCGTGACATTTCAAGTACCGTTAGAACTGTGGTTTAAAAGTGTTTTTTCAATTCTTGAGGCCAATGCAAACACGTGCATATGAAGAAAACTTCGATGCGAAGATCACGTGATCGACTGCACGTGCAAAACCTGATTTGGCACTAACGTCATTTGCAAAGACGAATGGATGGGTTTGAGTGGGTTTTGCTAACGTTTTTCTAGACTCGAAAGATAGGGAGTCCATTTCGGATACATAGATGTATCATCAGAGAAAAATTATTCATTATTTTCAAATTACATTTTGTGAAGTTTCTTTTTGACTCAGTATATACAATGCCGAGCGTTCCTCCCCGATAGGTATCTGTGCGTGCGTGCGTGCGTGCGCTCGCGTACTTAATACTTATCCGGTCTAACCCGGTTTATAGTGTAAGCACACTGAGATATTATGTCAAAGTTGTAACACTGATTATATACTTATTCCGGGTTTTATCTCCTTTTCATCACATTTAACTCCAACATGGAAACAACAAATACCATATTTTAACGTCTTTTGGACCCGTGAAGATCCGGGTTAGAATTAGTCCTCAGCCACCCACGTTTTTCGTAAAGGGCGACAAACAGGATCGGGTGGTCAGGCTCCTGACTTGGTTGACACATGTCATCGTATCCAAATTGCGTAGATCGATTCCCTTGATGTCAGTCACCGTATTGCCTGGTCCAGACTCGATCACTGAAAGACCACAGTCACATAGTTGGAATATTGGCGAGTGCAGCGTTTAACAAGAAACAAAATATAATATCAAATATCGGATTGTCTGGTCCAGACTCCATATGTTACAGGCCGACGTCGTGTACCTTGAATATTGCCGAGTGGTGCGTCAAACAAGAAACAAATAAAAACATAGATGTGTTTACGTATATTGGGTATCAGACTGTAAGGTTAGGTTGTTTCTAATGAGACATGCTGATAAAGACGCCATACCTTGGGGCCACTTGACTTTGATCCTATCAGCTCAGCCAGTCTTGAGAACAGAGAGCTCACCTTCTCATGGGTCATGAATAAATGAAAACGATAAATAGATCATCTATACTCGGTGCCATTATTGAAAGGTCATGTGCCTTTTGCATTGCTAGGAATCAATTCCATATTATGACTACATCAGTAATGAGATGTCAATACTGTTAACATCCCGTTGACATAAGGCACCATAGAGGACATGTCTCAATGATTGAGAAGTAAAAGATATACAGTGTTTCAAAAACATTATCATTTTGATCAATTTTTTCCTTTCCGCGAACACTGTCAATGTCTGTATCGGGGAAACGCAGCATTTTGTCTTGTATTGCATTAGAAAGTGCGACTTCCCATACACAGATTTAGACTATAAATGTCAACTGTAGTCTCACCCTGACATCATGGTTTCTGATACGAAACGTTTCCTGACGGTAACGGAGGGGGGTCAAGCAATTGGTCTCATGCAAGCTGGTCACAGTTAACGACAAGCTGCAAATCACTTCAATGTGAGTCAAGGTGTCATTTGGAGACTGGCAAAGGTTTTAAGCCAGGGGATTGATGGAATATGTGAGAAGACCAGGTCGACCTAGAGTTACCACTGCAAGGCAAGACAGGCACTTGGTTAACGTCGCTTTACGTAACCGATCCGTGACCGCCGGTGACCTTCAGACTGAACATTACAATGTTCATGGTGTCAGAATAAGCAGGAACACCATTCGACGCCGATTACGTGCCAGTTGGCTCCGTTCAAGGCGACCAGCAGTCCGTCCACCACTTCTGCAACGTCACAGACATGCACGTTTAGCCTGGAGCTGACGTCATGGTCGTTGGAATCAACATCAATGGTCGACCGTGCTCTTTACAGATGAAAGCCGGTTTAATTTGTTTTTTTAATGATGGCCGTCGGAGAATATTCCGCAGAAGAGGTGAACGGTATGGTGGCTGATTAGGGCCATCGCTTTCTCGTCTTTAAATTCGGAGGCGAGAAAGCGAGAAAGCGATATCACGAGACGAGAAAGCGATAACACGAGACGAGAAAGCGATAAGCCCTAATCCGCCACCATAGGTTTGGTGGCGGATCAGTCATGGTTTGGGCCGGTATCATGGCTACAGGAAGAACCCAGCTTCACATTATTGATGGAAATTTGACTGATCAGCGGTATCGAGATGAAATCTTGACCCCCATTGCTATTCCCTTTTTTGCAAGCTATGCATGGATTTTATGGTCGTGATTCTCCTCTACAGGACGATAATGCCAGACCTCACACAGCCAGGATAGTCACTGATTATCTTCAGCAACAGAGTGTGGAACGGATGGACTGGTCGGCATGTTCAACAGATCTCAATCCAATCGAGCATGCATGTGCTGAACTTGGCAGACGTGTTTACAGACGTCACCTTGCTCCACAAGATCTACAGGGTCTTCGGAGAGCTCTTGTGCAAGAATGGGAGGCTATTCCACTGGCATTCTTCATGAACTTGATCAGAAGCATGAGATCTCGGTATAACTCTGTCCAGGACCAGAGAGGCGGCTACACCATGTACTGGTTGGTCATGGACTCCATTGTTGTGACTTTCCGTTTTGGGAGTATCCCTTTGTTTGATGTCCGTGTAGATACAGTCCTGATCCTTTGCTCACAGCTTAGCACCGAACACTCTCCTCAGTTAAAACACTATCTCTCCTTTCTATAATCTTGTCGCAGCGTACTTTATTTTGCATTATATTACCTTATTGCTACATGACCCTTCAATAATGGCACTGAGTATACATATATACTTGTATACGTAAGGTCTTGATTCCAAGGCAGACATTCGAAGTAACAGTGAGTGAATGCTGTTTTATCCAATCATTAATGTACTCGAGTCTGGACCAGACAAACCAATAAGCGGCAATCAGTCGTCACAGATAAATAATGTCCAATTATATTGGATCTTCCGACATTATGGGACCTTGGTGCAGCCTGATGGTTAAAGCGTCCTGGGTTTGATTCCACACGTGGGTACAATGTGTGGAGCCCATTTCCGGTGTCCCCGGCTAGAATATTGCTAAAAGCGGCATAAAACTACACTCACTCATTCTTCTCCTGTAACAGGACAGTTGGATTTTGCATCTCCCGTCACGACCGCTGCTATAGAGTCCGGGGCTGGTGACATCTCTCCTTCTGGACTCGCCTCGAGCAGGACACACCCAGGGATCCTCTACTTCGTCAACGGTGCTAGTGTCAGTGTGACTACCGTCTTCGCCGTCGATGCATCTTCTGGTCAGATTGTTGGTAGGTTTTCGTGGCCACAAAACAACTGCAATCATGTCTGTGCAATTCTGGGTGTTCTTCATGAACACCTCTCCCGTGATATATGTATGTAGTTTTCATAGCTATTTGTCTGTTGTGCCAGTTGGAATCGATGTGATAGTGGCTGGGTCCCGATCCACAAAGCGTTCGTAAGTTTACGACCTGTCGTAACTCTATAGTTTATCATAGGCTTACGAAAGTCGTGGCGCTACGAAGGCTTCGTCGATCGGGTCCCTCATCATTCTTTCTCTCATTTGTTAGGGTTTGGTTTGGTGGGTAACAATCTTAAAATAGTATAGTTGAGAAAACAGACATGGTGGTAGTGTTAAAGCATGACTTCTGTCCAGTGCCCGTTTCTTGTCTCGGTCTCGACATTATTGGAACTTGCCGCTGTGTATTTGGATAGCATAAACTGTAGGCAATATGGTGTAAGAACCATATTGACAAGAGTGTCATTCTACCAATGTTTAGTTCCCGTTTGAGAGTACATAGTACACAATGAAGGCGAGTGAATTTAGTTTTAAGCCGCAGTATTCCAGTTGAATCACGACGGTCTTAAGGGTTTACCAATGCTGAAATCCACGTGAACGGGTTTGATACTGACGAACTAGTCATAATCAGGGCAGTCTGGGATTCGAACCCTAGATCATAGTATCCTGACACGCACAAGGGATGCAACCATAAACAGCGAACTGCGTCGCTTTAGAACACCTGTGCCCTAACTTAAAAGCACGTTCAGTGATCACAGCGTATATTATCTGAGAGGACTGCCACATTACTGAGTCGAAAATTCTTGTGCAGAGAGAATGAGTTGAATGTTTAGAAATCCTTCAGCTGAGTTATATTTATGAGCATCATTCAGATAAATAGACCTGGGCCAACAGTTATAAACATTTTCAGAATTAAAAGTTACTTATATGCGTGGATGTCAGGGAATTTTAATTTGGTTTCTCTGAAGTAGGAGAATGTTTTTAACGAGCTAACATCATTCTATAATTGTTAGTGAGAATCTTTGTAACAAGCTCCTTCGTGTACAGTAGCGGAAATCACTGACACGTGTCTATTGTTTCAGGAAGCATTGACATCAACAACGCCACAAACGATCACTGGTCCGCCGTCGCAGTTGGAAAGTGTCCCCTCGACGTCGACACCGACTCCGACTGCATCTATGTGCACGACGCTGGAGACACGGCGACGCCAGCTAAGGTCGTCTACGTTGTGAAGGAACAAGCTGACCCTCGAACTGACGTCAGCATTGCCGCTGATAAAATAATAAGTTACACTGACCAGTGAGTAGTGGCATGGCAGTGTGAGTCGTAGTGGTAGCAGCAGTAGTAGTAGTAGTAGTAGCAGCAGCAGTATTCATCGTGAGAGTGGTAGTATCGTCGTAGTAGTAGTAGTAGTAGTAGGACTTAAATCACATTAGCAGTAGCAATAGTAGTAGCAGTGATAGTAGCAGTGGTAGTAGTAGTAGTAGTGTCGTTGTAGTAGTAGTGGTAGTAGTAGGACTTAAATCACATTAGTAGTAGTAGCAATAGTAGTAGCAGTGATAGTAGCAGTGGTAGTAGTAGTAGTAGTAGTGGAAGCATCATCATGATGTAGTTGTTATCCAAGTCGTTGTATTAGTAGTGGTTGTATACGTTGTAAAAACATTTTGGTAGTAGCTATAACAAAAGAAGTGGTAGTCGTAACGAAACTCTTGACAAAACAAAAACAAGACTTAATGATTACTTGTTTTTTCATATACATGTTTATACTTCGGTATCATTAGTGTGGAAACTATTTCACCGGAACTCCAACATCAGGAAGAGTTTTGGTGAAAGATGATCAGATCAGTTAACCGACATAAAAATGTAAAATACTGTAAAATAATTCCGGATACATATCCAGCACGTGGTTGCCAGTAACAGTACCGTGCACAAAAACGTCCATACTGTACCTACAATACGCCCGTATCTGCGATTCGAGCATTTTGTGTATACTGAACTTTTACAGAGACGTAATTTTACCTTAGGTAGGAGTGATGCCGACATTTTATCAAAATCAAAAGATGGTTTACAGATAAAAACCTCATAAGATGTCTGAACTCAAGACAGTTGTTTTATTCCTACACGGCAAATTGGTCACTGTGTAAATGCGAACTAAATATGTGTGAATTGAAAATTGAAATCTTCTCCAAAGACCCGTCGCACATCTTACAACAGCACGCTATGAGAAAGATACGTTTCGCACGTGACTCTGGAATTTGTAATGAGAAACAAGATGGTGGTGGAGATGCATACCTTTCACTGACACATTTCGAACAACCTAGAAATTGGCTACTTGCTTGGACGCCTGGTGACAGTGGCCTTTGTAACATTTTAAACCAATGTGCAGACAGTAAATATAGGCTACACCAGTTACTATATATGAAGTACATGTATTAGTTCCGAGGTACGACACAATGTACATTGGGCGTTGTGCAATAACGGTGCGGATAAAATTTGCCCGGATTATACCCTACAACTCAGTTTTACCGGACTACACCGTAAACACAACGCATAAGACGTTAATAAGTTCCATTGAGAATAGTTCCCGTAGCCATACCGGATCTGTAACGATATTGACTGTGGGGTTAATGTTAACATACCGTCAAAACGATACAGTAAAAGTGGCGTATCTGTAGGCCTACGGTAATTTTTCACAATGTACAGACAGTGTAGCCTTAATGTGATATCACAGGCAATTTCGCAACGTTTTGTTCATGTCATGGGTTCCACTGTATCCGATTTAGAGTCGGTGAAGGTTGATATCTCTGGATAATACAAAATTATTTTCTACAGACGAGGAGGATTGGGTAATTCAGACACCATATTTGTGGACGGCCACCGTGACATCTTCTTCTTTGACGCTGTGGAGGGTACCAGCGGGCGAGGAGCCATTCTGTACCGTATTGAAATCAAAAGCGGAGTCCCAACAGCGCGGGGTGTTCAGAAATTAGACCTCATTACTACCGGCACGACGGGGCAGAACGACGCTAGCCTGTCTGCGAACGGATGCGAGCTGCTGGTGAAGACACGTGACAGGATATACTACTTCCCCTTCCGGAATGGTCAGATCGAGGCTGAGCACCTCAGCATCCTGCCTCTATTTCCCAGACAAGGCTACAATGGTATAGCGTGGCAGGGCAATCAGACTGGGTTCTATATCGTAAATGGCGACGATCCTGCGGACCTTCAGTTCAGCGCCCGCGGGAAGGGCTACCGTAAGTATGACATGGTCAACAGTTGTTTGAACTTCATTTTCATGAAGCTTGTTTGTCGTCAGCGTCTCTCAGGGACAGAAGTAAACTGAAAAGCATTACTATCCCGGATGAAGATTAAATTAATAGGGAAATTGGATTAATGGAATACTAGCCCGCAACAATTTGTACTAGCCGCAGGCTAACGGGCTAGATAAAAGATCTAAGCCTGCCTCTTTCGGCAAGTATAAGACACTGAAGACTAATCATAACACAGGTATTGACCGTGGAAAATATGTTATGAGTGAGAATGACATCAGATAGGGGCTTCGCGAATTGTACCTATGAGTGCAATCGAACCGGAGTCTTTGGCGTGACGAGCGAACGCTGTAAACACAAGGCTACCTCTCTTACCTATCGGTTATAAAACTTGTCACCTTAACACACATGAAATGCTGATGAATACATCGGGTTTTAAAAATTGCAAACCATCAAGAACAAAAACAGCCCGTCTTGTTTTTTAACCCCTTAATACAAACACATCACTCCTATCCCGAAGGAACTTCCTGTACAGCAACGGGTCTGTTTTCAACCATGCTTTGCCTATAAATGTCGTTCACAAACAGTTCCACCATATTTGTCGGACCTTACGTTCCATCCTGATCTCTTCTTCCAGAGTCAGCCATGTTCCTTTATACCAAAATTTAAACTAAGCTTTGGACACATACCTCGCAGCATCAATGGGACTGTGTTCCCCTTGAGCCCCGTACTTCTCCAGGCTATTCCATCTTTAGAACTGATCTCAAGACCTATCGCATCCATCCTGGTTTAGATTGATCTTTTCTCCCCTGGTTGCGCTTTGATCATGATACCGAGCATGGAAAACGTACTACAAGTTAACAAAAATCGTTATAAATTAAGTAACTCGCGCTTTTAATCCACAAGAGGGGCCTTGGTCCTAGTGGTTCGTCATTCCGAAGAGTGAGTAAGTAGGGTTTTACGCCGCTTTTAGCAATTTTCAGCAATATCACGGCGGGCAGGGCGTAGCTACCATTATAAAAAAAAGTCCGGGCTTACACATGATTGTTGCTAAAAAGGTTGGACAAGCCCTCAATACTATCTAAATATAAAGCTTTGCAACCTATCGGGCTTACACGAATATTTGCTTGCTACGCGCCTGGCAGGGAACACCAGGAATGGGCGTCACACTCATGCCGAAGACCCGTGTTCGATTCCCCACCTGGGTGAAACGTATGAAGCCTATTTCTGGTGTCCCCCGCTGTTATATTGGTGGAATATTGCTAAAAGCGACGTACATTGTGTATACTCACTAACTCTTATCCACCAGGTGCAAAGTTTAACTACGGACAAGTAATTGGTATCAACCAAGGTGTGGACGGCATGGCAGCGAGCAGAGACCACGGAGGTTTTATCTATGTCATACGTCCTGGATCCTCCAAGATCTTCATCATGCAGGCAGTCCAGTTCCAGGAGGCTGGTGAGATAGACTTAGGAATGACATTCTCCAACAGACAGGGCATATCGACGGGGAAGTGTCCAGTGACACAGGGAAGTGGTAACTGTGTCTTCGTCCAAAACGGAGGAAGCAATAGTGGCGGACCAACGAACATCATCTTTGTCATCCCTGAACCCGCCGACCCGTTCTCTGTGATGACCGTCACGCTCGACGCCAGCAACGTCATCTCATACACGTAAGTATATGGCAGCGCTCTTTGGATGAGTGAGTGAGTAAGTATGGTTTTACGCTGCTTTTAGCAATATTCCAGCAACATCACGGCGGGGAACAGCAGAAATGGGCTGCACACATTGAACCCATGTGGAGAATCGAACCCGGGTAATCGGCGTAACGAGAGGAAGCTTTAACCACAAGGCCACCCCACCGCCCTCCTCACTGGATGAATTCACACGACAAACTTTATTGATGTTGTCAAACAGTTTAGTGAAGACATATCGTCTGGGTTCTCACAAATACTTTCGCCACAGGTTCTGAACTCGATTTAAGCAATCAATGTGATACTGCTTCATATTTATTTGTTGGCAAGGGGGGAAAAGAGGAAAGGGAATAAATAACGTATATTTGTATAACGCTAGGGGAACAGCTTGTATTTGCAAACTTGCGTCGCCTGTGTGATTTACCTCTTTGTCACGGTCAGGGGAACCTACTGAAACACCGGGAAAACATGCAGGTCAAACGGGATTCGAACCGTTTCTGTCTTGCCCAACGGACATGAAACCAATGGATCTCCCCTGAACATTAACATTCATTATTAACTAATAAAAGAAAGTATCGTATAATCACAAAATGGTGATAACTACTTTACAGATATCCAGGATCTGGTTCGGACGCTCTCATGGTCGACTGCAACGGCGACATCTACATCCTCGACAAGGGCACCGCCGGTGGCAACGCAGGCGTGTACAAACTGGACTCCGACAATGCAGGAGTACTCATTGGGCGGATACCGGTACAATCCTCGTTCGCCGGACCTGTGGGAGCTGACATATCCCCCTGCTGTGACGAGGTCGTTGTGAAGCTGGTGGAGAACGTCCTCCTGTACCCCATCCAAGGTGGCACCGTGGCCTCCGCCCTGGCAGCTGAACCCCTCATTCAGCCGTATGTGCAGGAGTTTGACGGGGCGAGTGTCACGTTTGCTGATGACTGCAAGTCGTATCTGACGGCTTCTGACACCTCTACCGGACAGTTGAGGCGCTATCGTCGCGTCAAGTGTTGTGATAAAAAGTACTGAAAATACATGCAATAAACGGTGTTACGGAAACTGTGGTGTCGTTTGTTAAACAATGTGGGGCAGTGGGGTAGATTAGGGGTTAAAGCGTTCGCTCGTCACGCCGATGACCTGGGTTCGATTTCAGATGTGGGTACAATGTGTGAAGCCCATTTCTGGTGTGCCCCGCCGTGATGTTGCTGGAATATTGCTGGAAGCGGCGTAAAAGAACACTGAAAAGTTTGTTTATTGTTTAACGAGGCAGTAATCCAGCTACGGCGGCAGTCTGTAAATATTCGGATCTGGACCAGACAATCCAGTGATCAACATCATGAGAATCGATCTACGTAATTGGGATACCATGACATGTCAACCAAGTCAGCGAGCCTGACCACCCAATCCCGTTTTTCGCTTCTTACGACGACAAACATGGGTTACTGGGTTACACCAATTCTAACCCAGATCTTCACCGATACAGATGGAAAATATCGCGAGTGATTCATGAACGTATGTTCATATGATATATAGTTGAATGGTTATAATAGACGATCTTGTGTAAGTATAGTTCTTACAAATAATCTAAATAATCCGTTTCTAATATTTCCACGGTTTAGTCTAACAGATTAGGGGGCGGTGGCGTGGCCCAGGGGTTAAAGCGTTCGCTCGTCACGCTGAAGACCCAGGTTCGATTCCCCACATAGGTACAATGTGTGAAGTCCATATCATTGCTAAGAGCGGCGTAAAACTAAAGTCACTCACTCTAACATATCATCTCCTTGTACCTCAGTCATTGTGATTCATAAACGCCTCATGTCACGTAGCAATATTACAGAGGGCGATTGTAGATAAATTTAGTTTTTCAGAACTAAATAATTACAAATAAAGATAATAAATAACTAAAATTACTCTAGAAATACGCTCGGTAAACCCATAGAAATAGAGATGATTACCGAGTGGAATCATGCATAGTTATAAATCAGCTATTTAGCTGCTAGACCCGGTTCTCCCCGCCATGATAAAGAAACCCGATATGTTTACATCCCTGCCCATATATTCCACATGGTGATAGAGGTAATGGGATTTCAAATTACATTGCCAGTATTCATGAAGAATAATTTGTATTAACATAAAATACATGTAAAGTAGGTCAGAAAAATTGTCATATTTCAAGAAGCGACATGCATGTAGCTAACCAGTGTAATGTATTAGTAATATGATCTGTCATAAAGAGTAGATATTCATGTCAGACAGTGCAAAGATAGAGAATGTACTTAATAGGGTTTAGTCCACTTACTGCACCTAGCAAATATTCCGGTAATATTACAGCGTTCAGTGAATAAACGAGTCAGGATATACAGATAAAACCATATAGCAGAGATGGGGTGGGGTCCGTTTTCTCATGTATTGGTGCGGTACGGTTACCCCAGTGGTTAAAGCGTTCATGCTGAAGACCCGGGTTCGATTCCCCACATGGGTACAATGTGTGAAGCCCGTTTCTGGTGTCCCTCGCCGTGATACACAAATCCGTGGGTGTATGTATAATCAGAATACAGTGCGTATAATCAGAATGTAGAGTGTATCAGAAAATATACAGGGCACCATATTCGCACCCAACACCTCCCCGACACATACAAAACCCAAATCCTATATATTGATGAACAGAATGACCTTAATTGCTATTTTCTGTTATATCTTTAATATAGACATTTTTCTACATATTCACAGAATGGAACTTCAAGCCTTTCCAGCTATAAAAATGTTGCCTAGTCTCCACTCATTGTGCCACCCGTACTGGTTTCAGAGCGTTAACAATAAATACGGATTTTAAAAAATATATTTGTAGAAAAGATATAAATAAGTAAGTAAAAACCTACAGGTTGTAAGATTTTCTGGCCAACTTGTGGCATCTGAAGTTTAACGCGTAAAAATGAACTCGTCCGCCCGCTCGTTTAGTCGAGACTGTTTGACCGATAAAATCCCAACCAGGGTGACAACTTCAATAAAGTATGTTTGTAGGACTAATGTTTTCCATGAAGAATCGAGTGTGCACCCCAGATATGGGATAAAGGCATGCAAGCATCTTGATCATGATCAGTGGTATTGTCTACTCACCGACACAGACGCTCGGCTGCCTCAGCGAATATTTGGCTGGCACCTCAAGATTTTGTGCAGCCCGTGCAAATGGAGATATTGAGCGGCGCTTCTGTCAAGTACAAGTGCTGGCGTTGCCTGACACATTTTGTGAAGCAGTTCGTATATATCACCGTCCGCCATCCATTACTTCATGCAGATACCATATTCGCCCTAAAAAGCTCTGGAATTGTTTACTGAATCACTGAATCCAGGGGCAAAATTACTATGGGAAAGTGGAATGAGTTCCTTCCGTTCCCCCCTAAACCTAATTCTAAACCTAACCCTAAACCTAACTCTAACTTAAATTTGGGACTTTTAGTCATTTTGTGAGTTCTCTAGTAATTGTTGTGTTAACTTTTGTTAATAAGTTTAGTATATTTATAAATATTATTTGGGGTGGGGGAACGGGAGGAAATCTTACCAATGGATTTTTTCTCCTTACCCGCCCTAAACACTTGGGTATCAGAACTGGGCATATATACATGTTGCATCTGTCAACTCGAAAAGAAAACGAGACCATATAATTATATCAAACAAAATATATGGCCGGTTATGATGATGCTGGAATGATAGGTTCAGTAGTCACAATGGTGGTGAAAAGAAGTGTAGCAGTGTACTATCACCAGATTGAACATAAAGTGTTAACTAATCAGTCACTCGAACTGTATTTAAACACGAAAGCACTAACCTCGTGACTACATTCATATGTGGTGTGTACTCAGTGCTCCTGGGGCGGTGATGTAGCCTAGTAGCGTTTGCTCGTCACGCCGAAGACCCGGGTTCGACACCCGACACGGGTACAATGTGTGAAGACCTGGGCCTAGATTTTCGAAGCTCTCTTAGCCCTAAGATAGTCGTAAGTTAATGTTAATGTATGGCACTTACGACTATCTTAGTGCAAAGAGGGCTTCGAAAATCTAGGCCCTGGTGTCCCCCGCCATGTTATTGCTGAAATATTGCTAAAGCACAATTCACTGCATCTTGAGCACCCAGTGCCTTAAGTATCAGGGTCATTGTCAGCAATAGTAATGGGTGGATCTGCAGGTAAAGGAAATGAGTTCCTGAAAGAAATGTACATTTTCTTAACAGGTACAAATTATTTTTGACAACATGATGGTAAATGTTATAATTCAAGAACTTGCGACAACCCATATCAAATGCTTAAATCACCGTCTGCATGGATGGATCCAGGAATTTTTTAAGGGGGTGGGGGGGTCCGAAGCCCCTGAACACACCCCCCTCCTCTGGATCCGCCAATGGTTTGTTCATTGTAAGGAATAATGTAACTGAAAGCCAGATTGTCACTGGATGTGGAGTTTTTCAATTTGTGATCTATTGTCACATAATGAGGATAATAAAGAAAATGGCATCGCTATCATTATTGTCATACAATCATGAACTGAGTTTACGATTTGGATTAATCCTATTTATGTTTGTTGTTTAACTCAGAAAATATTCCTGCTATATGATGGCAGTCTGTAAATAGTCTAGTCTGGACCAGACAATCCAGTGATCAACATTAGGAGCATCGATCTACGCACTTGGGATACAATGACATGTCAGCCATGTTAATGAGCATTTCCACCCAGCCTCATCATCAAGAAATGGAAGAGGTGAGGTGAGGTGAGTTGAGGTGAAATGGGGTTTAAACTCGTACTTCAGAATATTTCGCACATATGACGACTGCATGCATGTGTATGTGTGGCTGCTTGTACTAGCCCAGATCTAGACTTAAGCGGGTTTTATAGTGAACATAGAGATTTTTTCTGGGTTACATCTTTATTTTATTCTGAGTTTTATAGTGCTAGCACACCGTTAAGCGCCCGCAACAGAAGCTGGACCATTGCATGGTTACAGGATGGTGAATCCATAACAAGTGGTGCTCTCTGTCTTCAGGTGTCTCCCCTGTCATTCATAGACTGAGGGACAGGTTCAAGGCCACTGGTAGAATACAGGACAGACCTCGCTCTGGAATACACAGAAAAGCATCAAGGGCAGATGACCGATATGTTATGGTCCAAGCCCTTCGGACCGATTCACAACTGCCTGTGCCCAGTTGCCACAAGCTGCATGGGAAGTCTGTCTTCCACATGCACTAGGCTGTTGTGCTCGGGCGTTTGAATCAAACATGGTGCTGGTGTGTTTCAGCATCCTTGTTTTTCGCTGTTTTTTAACAATGTTTCATTTCACTCAAACTCAACGAATATTGAATCAGTTGCTTCACTGCATGTTCCAACATGTCGTTTAAAGTGCCCATTAAGCACACAAAAAGTTGCATTTACCTTAGAGTATAAATGACCTCACCACGTTTCAGTTTATATATGACTATCAAATTTTAGGGTGTTCCTGTCTGGATAAAAGATATTCATGAGAAGTCTACAGTGAAAAATTGGGCAGCGCTGGACACGTCGCATGTGAACATACGCACTTATATTTTTCTTATGCTAATTTATTAGAAAGATAATATACGAAATTGCAAATATATATGAAGTATCAAAAGGAACCTTTACATCTACAACACATGGATCTAGTTACATTACGCAGTCTTAGTGATTTGGCAGGCTCGGCAACAGAAAGTTTCATATTTTTATCGGTGGTTCAAAATTACATGAAAACAAATGAAAGTGTCATTTGGTTATTTCAATGTGATGATGTGTCTGTGTGTTTGTTCATTACGTCAAACAGCAATTTTCACATTATGAATTTATAAGAAGTTCGTCTGTATATATCTACAATTCGAATATAGACTAGACTATCCAGTGATTGAAGAGTTGCAAGCCCGACAATGGGAGATATCATGACTATTACAATGATTTATAATGTATTTCAGTTTATTGTGCAGATAATATACAAACTACAATTGAAATTTCCGAGAAACACACATATAATTTAACCATAAAAAACGGCTACATTCGTTTTCATATAAACTCTTTAAAAAAAGAAACGCAGAGGCCAAAATAAAGTTAACGTATTTAAGTGTACATGAGTCGATTAAACTTGAACATAGATGAAGGAGGAAATTCGACAGACGGATGAACTTATGTATCGTTGTTTTTTGTCAGCATTAATGAATTCACTCACTGCACATGTGTGGACACAAGGTGGCGTTCAGGTCAGTACCTCGTGACACCACCCCTTGCAGGCGTCACAGATCGGAGGAAGGAAGGGCTTGCATACGTCGTCAGATTTTTGCTTGGGGAATTCTTCGCCATTCCTCCTGCAACGCGTTGGCAAGTTCTGCAAGTGTCTGAGGACGATGGTTTACCGACGCGTCGATCTAGTTCGTCCCATAGATGCTCGATCGGGTTCAGATCAGGCCATTTGGAAGGCCAGGGAAGGACATTAACGTTTGTATTGGCGAGATAGGCACCTGCTATACGAGCTGTGTGGGGTCGAGCTTTGTCGTGTTGAAACAGCTCCTTCTGGCGGTTAAAATGTGTGAGGAGGTGAGGTCGCAGGATTTGGTCGATGTAGCTGTAAGCTGTAAGATTGCCTTGAACCACTACGAGCTCTGATCGACCCCTGTAGGACATGGCTCCCACGCCATGGCGCTTTCTTCACCAAATATGTCGACCAGCGGCTCAAAACCTTCGTGTCGACGTTGATAGACACGTTGTCTCCCATCCCGTCTTTGCAGGAGGAAACGCGATTCGCCGAACTAAACGCATCGCCAGTTTAACGGTACCCTCTTGCACCATTGGACACGTCGTTGTTGGTGTAGTCGTGTAAGGACAGGTCCAACTTTGGTCGATATGCTCGAATTTCCACTTCTCTCAGGCACCTGTCCTGCAGTGTCCGTTGTTGTAGCAAATCGGTGACGTAGATAAAACACCCGGATGAATCGGTCCTGAGCAGGAGAGGTCCCTCTTGGTCTTCCACTTCTGGGACGATCTTGGGTCGAATTGAAGCGGGTATGTCGATGCCATAATGGAGATATGGTGCTGTGGTGGACGTTGAAGCGACAGGCTTGGACTCCCCTGCTTCCAAACGTCAAATGGCGATATTTCGGTCAGTAGCATTCAATCTTGGCATTCTTTTGGCATTTACGTCATAAATTTCCTTATGAAATGATAAGTTTAGTTTGTCCTTTTACAGTCGATGTCTCTACTCATGTTTCAGACATGGAACTCTTTCTGCATGCACTTTTCATGTATCGTTTTCATTTTTTATGACAAACGTTTACAAACACTTTTTGGGGATGCGATTGCGCGCAATACACAACAGCCACGACATGATTAACGGGGTTCAAACACAGAAAGTGTCTTTTATGACGATTGCTGTCAAAATGTAACGACATGAACTGCTGAAAAAGCCTATGTGTTTTTTTAAGAGGGTATATAATCAGCATTGCTTCATTTCTTCTTTTCGCGAGATAACTTGACCAGGAAAGTTTAGGGTAGTTTAGTGATACTACAATGGCTTGCAGTGCAAACATTAAAGCAAACAATATCATTGAATAATTGTATTCTTCGTACGTGAGTTTGTCTGTGCAATTTCAATCGAAATTTGTTCGAATATCAAGACAGACACAAAATACTTTCTGTCTACAAACACGGATTACAATACTATTGTGCTTTGACAAACCGTGTCAGCAGAGCTCTAGATAAGCTTTTTCCAATCTGGGTATTTTACCTATGGTGGCTGTTATAAATAGGTACTACTGATCTTCAGTGGGTACTCAAATTTTTCGATACCCACCTTTTTTATAAAAAGTTGGGTATTTTCTATGTCAGTAATTTAAACATGTTAAAAAAGATAACGATAGCCAATTGTTTGTACCTCAGACCTTAACATGGTCGTTGTTTAAAGAGAAATAAAAAATGTGAAGTTTTAAGTTATTTTATTATTTGACTTGTGCAGTGACCACATTGAAATGCAAACATGTTAGCATGATAATCTACCCGATCTCGTAACGTTTGACAGTTAGCTACTTTCTGTTACGCATGGGGTTTTTTACCGGCAAGTCAGGGTACGCAAGTCATAATAACCAAAATTTCCTTTGCGTATTTGGGACGCTACAGATATATTTCGTGTTTTGGAAATTCGAATGAGTATTTTTACGCAGATGCGCATCTTATCTACACTTCTGGTGGCATAAATCGTTAAAATCGTTAACCTCAGCATTGTTTCTTTCTTCTTGAGACAATACCGAAACATAACCGGTTTCAATGACGATATTTGTGTTGGAATACTTCTTTATGAAATATACTGTCCTTAAATTCCCAGCAGTCCGACGTAGGCAATATAGTGACTGACATAAGGAACATAGATCCACGCAGCTGAGATACAAAATGACATGCGACTCGTGCACGACCACCTTATCTGTTCACTAACCTCACGAGCAAACATTGCTGGGGACCAAACTTCTATAGTTGAATTCACACGGGTTAAAGGGGCGGTGGAGTAGCCAAGTGGTTAAAGCGTCCGCTCGTCATGCGGAAGACCCGGGTTCGATTCCCCACATGAGCACAATGTGTGAAGCCCATTTCTGGTGTCCTCCGCCATGATATTGCTGGAATATTGCTAAAAGCGGCATAAAACTATACTGGCTCACTCACACGGGTTAAAACACAGTTCAAATGTAACAACTCGAGAAATTGTCTGCTGGTATATGACTGCACTTACCTTATCGTTACGTTCAACGGTTTCTGCAAAGGTTTAAGGCTCGTCAAATATATTGCCCATGTTTTGAATTCAGTTATCAAATATTCACCACGTCTGCTACCATTCGTGGTGTCTGGAATTAACACGCACGAGAAACTCGAGCAGCGGAAGTGACCCCCGATTGGTTTAGCTCGCAACCATGACGTCACGTGACAAAGCTGGCGAACACCTGTGTGAAATGTACAACGTTTCAAAATGGATTTGACATTTTTACATTTGTACTTGTATTTTGTCTACAAAGAAAACGGTTGATGTGAAAGAGACTCAACTTCTCCACGCCAAAGTGCTCACTTCCTGGCTTGTTCCAGACATCGTAATTAGCTCACGAGAACTATTGTATCTGCCTAATTAGAATTAATATAGTTTGTTATCATGATCATCATGTCTGAGATTATGTTGCTTATAGCAGATAAATGTTTCCACGTGTAAATATATGGTTGAAATGTTAAATAACACCCTTTCAAAAATGTAATTATTTTGCCCAGTATGATGTATGGGTGAAACTCAATATGACAGGGACCCATGAAGATACGGGTTAGAATTTATCTTCAGTAACCCGTGCTTGTAAGAGGCGACTAACGGGGATCGGGTGGTCACGCTCGCTGACTTGGTTGTCACATGTCAACGTATCCCGATTGCGCAGATTGATCACTGGATTGTCTGGTCTAGACACAATTATTTACAGACCGCCGCCATATAGCTAGAATATTGCTGAGTGCGGCATTAACAAACCAATCAACATGACTGATCAAGAGTGGTCAGCGGTACTTGCAAGTTCCTCTCCTTACAGGCGGTACCAATGTTAAATATACAGTAAGGGATAACATTAACATTGTACACTATCTAGTTAATGGCGGACAGTCAAGTGTAAAACACTGATAACAAACCATAAAAAGATAGAAAATGAATACCTTGGGCGTTTTCCGGTAAAAATGACACTGAAAACAAACAAGCAGAAGCATGGGAGATGCCATTTATAATTACATTATATTTACAATTAACGGAATCAAACTGTCGCTTAAAGTACAGATAGGAACAGATACCATGTGACTAGTCAGTGATAATTTGAAGAAAAGCTGGTAGTTTTCGAGATGACCCATAAAAAAGACATCTCTGTCAACTGTGCCAATGTCAAACTTGTTCCCATGGTAACAGGACAAAAATAAATAAATTCTAAACTATCCTAACTATTACAAGGCACAATTTGACAAGTTCTATGTGTGTGCAAAGTTTCGTGAATGAATACTTTGTTTTAGAAACACGGTCTGGACAAGGACAAACTTGTTGCCATGGAAACGGGAAAAAAAAAATTCTTGAAATCCATAAAAAGCAAAAGGCACCAATTGACATGTTCTGTGTGTGTGCAAGAGTTTTCGTGGATGAGTTTCTATTCGTTTTGGAAATATGGTCCGGATAAGAATGGACAAAGGACGGACAGACAGAAGAGCTGTTGATTACTATACCTAGGGAGCAAAGCTGTGAGTAAAAACTACAATGTTGCATTGTTAAACTGAGGTATCGTCGTCGTAGAGACTATTTCGTTCATATGACGACGTGCATGCGTGTGTATGTGTAGGGTGCGGCTGCTTGTACTACAACTTAAGCTGTTTTATAGTGCTAGCCATGAGCTACCATGCTAAACATGAATACCCCAGTGAACATTATACCGACCATTCCTTGTACCCAAATGCCGGCCAGGCAGGGACCAACCTGTTAAACTGAAGCCAGTGAACATTATTTCGGTCAATGGGTATACTGTGATGTCAGTGATGAATGCCTTTAAGCTCAAGAACTGAAAATGACTTGTGTCCAGGATTAGAAAAGGTGATGATTGTTTGAACAGTTGTTTCTTGGGTACTTCATGCGTGCAGAGATCATTTGGAATCAATGCAACATCAGAGGTACCCAGTGCACATGCAGTTGCCTTCAGGAGATGCTGCCTATTTCAGTAGGAGTTACTAGGTACTTTGTTGAGTTTAGGATGTGCCAGCACTGATATCAATCAACTGCATTTTGAACATCTGCATCCATCTTGAATCATCACAAAACAAGCTGTACATACAAAGCTTAGCTTTTATTTATCAAAAGCCATATGAACTTGTAAACATAAAAAACACAAGTAAAAATGTCACTTTGCTTTGATTACAAAGGTTGTATGAAACAAATTACATGTAAGCACTATAAAATAGCAAAATCAACTGACATGACAGTCATTCCACAAAATTACAAAGGTATCATCCATAGAAAAGGGATGATGTCTTCCAGCTCATGATATAGTTGATCCCTGAACAGTTTGTATGGCAATGTTCTGCATGGGAAGGTATTGTCCTAAATGAGCAAATCACAACTTGATCAACTACTATCAACATTGCTCAGAAGTGGTCACAATGTGGATATGTTCGATCGGATCGAGGCTTGTGCTCATCCTGAACAGTCTGGAATGTGGTCGGTCTTCTGGTGTCTCAGTCAAACATTTCTGCATCAGCTGGTACCTTGAATGAAAACAAATGTATTAACAAACCACCTTTTCTTCATAAACAGAATAGTGCTTAGAACCTTAGTACAAAGGGATAAAACAAGGACAGGACAACTCGAGTCTGTACACTGTCTCTGAGCCAGGCACACATTTCGAAACAGTGACATGGTGTCTCATTTGGCAAGCACTATACAAACATGCAAAACCATGGACTCACACACTTCCTCAAGGTCCTGCCCAACCCACTATATACCATGGTGCCGCTGTACAAGTGATCTTAGGGCTAAGGTGATCGTAACTCCCATACCTTAACATAGACTTGCGATTGTCGTAGTGCGAAGGTTGTTTTGTACATCGGCACCTAGGTCATTGCAATAATCTGTCACATTAAACAACATTTAATGGTTGTATGTGCTCCTATGCAAAGAGTTCATGTCACAAATCAGGTGAGGTTTTGGATGGGTGAGGTCTTGGATGGGTGAGGGTGTTTGGCAGCTTGACTCCTGAGAGTTTCTGGGACTTCAGTCCTGCCCCACAACCAAGCACATGGAATGCATGTGGTCTCAACAGTTTGTTTATGCATGTGACTATTAACCTTCTAGCGCCTCACAGGCAGCTTGAGGTATCTGGGGTAATAATAATCAGCTTGTTAGCGCTATAAACATTCACATAGAGAAGGGAGTTCAGCGCATTAAATATGCACCAAATATTATTAATCAACCTTACTTAATCTTATCTTTCCCTGAGTTCAGGTAGCAGTTCCTCATTAACCAGACCCGTGAAGATCTGGGTTAGAATTGATCTTCAGTAACCCATGCTTGTCGTAAGAGGCGACTAACGGGATCGGGTGGTCAGGCTCGCTGACTTGGTTCATACATGTCATCGGTTCCCAGTTGCGCAGATCAATGCTCATGCTGTTGATCACTGGATTGTCTGATCCAGACTCGATTATTTACAGAGCGCCGCCACATAGCTGGAATACTGCTGAGTGCGGCGTAAAACTAAATTCACTCCCTCACTCATTAACCACCTGCTAACTATTAATTTGCCAACATCTTGAGTGAGATGTCGTTACAAGGAACTTATCTGATAAATGGTAACCTACAAGCTTCGTTGATAAGTTTTCCTCTGTCCTGTTGACAGTAACTGCTAGGCTTAAGAAGACGATGTTGCAAAGTTTCCAGCTCCAATACATTCACTTGTAATGTTCCAAGTATAAATCAGATCCCCATGTTGAGGAGTAGCAATCAATAAAACAATGCAACCTATACACACATTCTTACCATCAGATCTGCATTAAGCTCCAGAGTTAGCCCCAAAACATTGCTCCTTGGGAACAATAACGGCAGTATCCACAAAACAACGCCACTCCAGACGATGTATTCTGATGTTTCATAGTTACGTTGGAAGTCATTTCTGAGTCAATTCCTTCCAGCTGTGCAGGAAATACTGGGCCCTGGACACCCACAGTCTCACCAGCTCACTCATGGTTGTGTTGCAACCTGCTTCCCATCTTGTCCAGTTACGGGCTGTCTTACGGTACGGGCTGTCTGGACATCCGTCGTTGATTCTGCATTTCACTCTGTTCAACATTGCCTTCATCTCTTGGTGTGATGTATCGACTGTGTACAGTGAAAAGTGAGAGAAGTTTGTGAAGACATTATAAAAGGATATTTCCAGCAGTTTACTTGGATCTTTAAGATGGCACTAGCACACGAAACATTTCTATCCTCATTAAATCGGAGGGCATTTCTTTAATTTTGGTGAAAGTGTTGGAGAATAAGTGGATGTTTTCAACAAACTAGCAAGGATAGTGATCATCTGACTGAAATATTTTTCTGTAAATATGAACAAAATTAGGTCAGTTCTCATGGACATATTCATAGAAATTTAGTCTCATCATTCTTGAAATCCTTTTGGTGATAATGTTTTGATAAAGACTTCCAATCTTATCATGATGGTCTCTTAGTCAGTTGGTGGAAAAATAGAGTGCGAGTTGAAGGTGTCATGTTAATCCCTTGCCAGCTGTCTCAATAACATACTGTAAAGTGCAAATGTAGGGGAGGTAATCGCTGACATTTCCTTTAAAAAATTATCGAGTTATCTTAAAGGGCTGAAACCTGGTGATCACACTGGTTAAAATCTGGTCTTCCAGGACTACAGTCCTTAGTAATACAGGATTTATTAGGACATTGAATTGGTGGTTTTAGAATATGGAGCCAAGATTGTGCAACTAACCTGTGTTCCTGTTCACTGGCCTCTTCTGTGCCTGGGGTCCTGATATTGTATTGGGAATTTGTTCTGGTATAGATGTGGATAAGATCAGGTGGTATTCGTAATTAACTTGTTTCGAAAAAGGTAAGCTACATTTATAAGGTGTGTCAATATGATGCATTTTTCAATTGCACTGGATGGTAAATACAATCATAGATTTAAAGTGCATGCGCATTATGGATGTTTGCTTCATAAAAGTCTTTGATGTTACATAGTTTTGAATATTTAGTATATGAAGGTATACTTCCATTGATATTGTACGACATCTTGTTAATAAATAGCTGAGATCAGTCACTCAGAATGACCAGGCTAGATTGTGCCTGGCCCTTCCACATCGCATACTCCTGTACCTGGCCCTTCCAAATCGCATGCTCCTGTACCTGGCCCTTCTACCTTTACACTCCTGTACCTGGCCCCTTCCACATCGCCCACCCATGTGCCTGGCCCTTCCAAAGCCCACATGCACGTGCCTATCCCCTCCACATCACACGATCATGTACATGGCCCCTTCACATCGCACATGTATGTACCTGGCCCCTCCACTTTGCACACAGCTGTTTCATACACATAACTCCTTGCTCCCCAGACCTTAAACTCACTTTACCTTTCCAAAGTCCTGACTCTTTCATCTGTTTTCTTCAGCTTTCTCTTCCCCAGGTGCTACATCCACTTCCTTCACTAACATAGATCACTTACATACTTTAAATACACCTTCCAGCTCTTCTGGCTTTCGTTCTGTTCTTTTGAGGAGTCACCATTGGGCTGAGGAAGAAATTCATCATGCTGTTCTTCTCGAGTCACCATTGGACTGTGGAAGAAATTCATCATGCTGTTCTTTTGAGGTCACCATTGGGCTGAGGAAGAAATTCATCATGCTGTTCTTTTGAGGTCACCATTGGACTGTGGAAGAAATTCATCATGTTGTTCTTTTGGAGTCACCATTGGACTGTGGAAGAAATTCATCATGTTGTTCTTTTGGAGTCACCATTGGACTGTGGAAGAAATTATCGTTCTTTTTAGGATCACCATTGCTTCATCATGCTGTTCTTTGAGGTCACCATTGGGCTGAGGAAGAAATTCATCATGCTGTTCTTTTGAGGTCACCATTGGACTGTGGAAGAAATTCATCATGCTGTTCTTTTGGGTTGAGGAAGTCACCATTGGACTGTGGAAGAAATTCATCATGCTGTTCTTTTGAGGTCACCATTGGGCTGAGGAAGAAATTCATCATGCTGTTCTTTTGAGAGTCACCATTGGACTGTGGAAGAAATTCATCATGTTGTTCTTTTGAGGTCACCATTGGACTGTGGAAGAAATTCATCATGCTGTTCTTTTGAGGTCACCATTGGGCTGAGGAAGAAATTCATCATGCTGTTCTTTTGAGGTCACCATTGGACTGTGGAAGAAATTCATCATGTTGTTCTTTTGAAACATTGTAACAGCATGAGGTTTGAACTTCAATACATCCACCAGACACTGAACTCTTTGGAGAGGGCGATAAAGGAACTCAAAGTATATATATATATAATGTGCAATTGTGTACAAATTGCTGTTCCCTTTATTATGATTCAAAATGATGTTTAGAGTAATGTTTAATTGCATCTCTTACATTGTACATTTGTTGGTAATTTACTGGAGCATTGTAAAATGTTTCATGTCAAAGTGGTAATAAGTAATAAAAGGTATTTAAAACAGTATCCCTGTGGCTGTTACCAGATGTTTTATATTGGTAATTTCAACTTGTGTATTTTGATATTTTCAGAACTCGAGGAACAATGAACAATCTGGAGACAGTGTGAGTGCTCTATCACTTTAAATTCCATAAATTTCATAATTTTACAGTAATATTTATTTTTTGGTTCTGATTTGAAGCAGAACAAATGTCACATAATACATGACATTTAATAATGCTTTGATGAAGGTTATATAATACATGCGGAAGGTTATATAATACATGCGGAAGGTTATATCATACATGCGGAAGGTTATATCATACATGTGGAAGGTTATATAATACATGCTGAAGGTTATATCATACATGCTGAAGGTTATATCATACATGCGGAAGGTTATATAATATATAATACATGTGGAAGGTTATATAATACATGTGGAATATGTCCACTGGAGCTAAGGACAATAAACAACCTGAAGATTTTCAAATCCAAACTGAAGACATACCTTTTTAAGAAAACATACAGTGTCTAACTTTTCTTCGAGCTGTTCGGAGAGCGCTACTGAGCAGTACTTTTGGACTGGAACTGGCGCTATATAAATGTTTTCATGATGATGATGATGAAGATCAGAAACTTGACAAAGATACTTCTGTTTGTTCTCTACTTTCAATGATGATGGTTTGAATATGTCAGTGAAAATAATATTTACTTTCAGATTACAGCAGAACATGAACAGAATGAGCATGAACCACAGAACTTGACCGGTTCTGGAGGTAAGCTGATATTTTTCTTTTATAAGATTTTCTAATATTTACACTTTTTCTTCGTTTTGTTTTTTACTTGCTTTACACATTGTTTACAGGAAAATACTTGTCACTAAAATGGTGGAAAAAATGAAAGCAATCCAATATTTGCTTTAGCTTTCTGGTATATTGCAGAATCATACCAGCTTCTAAATGCCACTTAAGATATTGCAGAATGTAGAAATGGTTTAATGTGGGACGAGAGTCTGTAACAGTTGTTGCTGTAGGCAACGCAAACCTTATGAATACAGTGGGAATACTGATCTGTATCTATTCCCCAACAGTTTCACTCCCATATCAAAACTTCAGCGAGTCCTTGTTGAGAAAATATTTTGGGTTGCAGTATGCTATCAGCTTATCAATGGGATAAAAAAAAGTTCTGAATAATATTTTTCCATTTCAGAAAAAGTTACTGTCAGTGGGTCCATACAGTGAGTGAGAGAGTTGGGTTTTACGCCGCTTTTAGCATTATTCCAACAATATCACGGCACTGGTCTATAGAGCAAGTTTTAAGAAATGAGTTCTTAGATGGAAGACATTATATTAAGAATGGTGTTGTGATTAAAATACCATTATTTTAAACAAGCTGAAACAATATTAATATTTATTACTGTACTGTTGTCTTCAGGAACAACTTGAAAGTCTCACCATGAGAAAGAAATCACCTGGCTTGGCAACTGGTCTTCTCTTTCGGAAGATGTTTTTACCGGAAGAGATAGTTGGGAGGAGTGCCTCTGGCACAAGAGGGAAGCTTGCCATAGATAAGGAGGCATTAGTTGGTGAGTGAATAAAAAAGAATGAAACCATAACTTCAATGTTATTACCAACTGATCAATAATGCAACAGTATGAACATGACGCTGAGTGGCCAACCATGATATGAAGGGTGGTTAGGGAGGAGTTTAAAAAAAACCTGTTGATACAGGTGTTATTTTGAAAAAAAAAGAGATTTTTGACACTTGACGCGTCGACCACAAGTTGGGGAGCCCACATGGCTCATTGGACTACTCACAGACCTTGGTCTCCTCACGACACCAAACATCACATCAATGTACTAGAGATGTTGGTGGTTATTTGTGTTCTGAATCGGTGGTGGCGTCAGATTCACCACAAATCTCTCATGCTTGCTGCGGACAATGCGACGGTCGTTGCCTACATCAACAAACAAGGGGGCACTCACTCCTCCATCTTGATGCACATGACTCATCTCCTTTATCAACTAGTAGATCTGTAGAAGTGTTCAATCCGTGCCCGACACATCCCCGGCAAGATAAATCTCCTGGCGGACTCCCTCTACAGGAGGGGGCAAACGTTACCGACCGAGTAGACCCTCCACTGCGATGCTTTTCGTCTCATCCGGGACAGATGGGAAACTCCCCACATCGATCTATTTGCCACCAGCAGGAATTCTCAGCTGCTGGTGTATGTCAGCCCGGTCCCCGATCCTTCCGCCTGGGCCGTCAACCCACTTTCCATTCTGTGGGACAACATGATTGCGTACGCTTTTCCTCCGATAAAACTGATTTCGGATGTTTTGGCGAAACTCCTATAACATCGATGTGTGCTTTATCTTGTGGCTCCGGATTGTCCGACTCGAACTTGGTATCCGTTACTGTTGGATCTTCTAGTGGACAAACCATTGATTCTACCTCCTTGGCGCAATCTACTGGCTCAACCGAGATCGTCAGTCTATAACAAGAAAATTCCGGCCCTAAATCGACGCGTGTGGAAGCTATCGGGTCTTCCTTGGAGAAACAGGGATTTGCCACATCTACAACGGACGCCATCTCTGTCTATTTGACCCTCGACAGCTCTGTTGTACAATTCGAGATGGAAACGGTTCTGTCAGTGGCGCCGACAGCGACAGCTCCTCCGAAATACATTTTCCATACCTATGATCTCTGACTTCCTCCTTTATCTCCGTGAACACAGGAAACTTAGGTCTGGAACTATTGAAGGTTATCGTTCAGCCATCGCCTCTGTTTGTAATCTGCAAGGTCTTGCTGTTGGTTTAGAGGTCTCTCTACATCAGTTGATTAGGTCGTTTCAGATTATGGATCTTACCACCGTCTGTGTTCCCTAAATGGGATCTCTGTTTGGTTCTTCCCGCACTCACCAAGGCTCCATCTGAATCACTGGAATCTGCCCCATTGACTTTCCTTTCTTACAAGACTGCGTTTTTGATGGCCTTTGCAACAGCAGGTCGTGTGTCTGAATGACATCCTCTTGATTTTACCTCCCTCCGCTACTCGGAGGGTTATTCAAATGTTACTTGTCAGGCTCTCCCTGAGTTTCTCGCAAAGAATCAGTCGGCTCATATCAGACCTTTGGGGATGCGAACTTATACCATACCTGCCTTGCCGTCTACCTCTCGCTCGTACAGGAATCGCCTTTAATGTCCCGTGAGGGCTCTCCGTTGGTATTCCAATCGTACAGACTCCTTTCGACATCAGCTTCGTATCTTTCTCCCATGCAAGTCAACTATCTCTACTGAAATACAAAAAAACACCATATCTGAGTGGCTCCGCAAGACAATTATGATGGCTTACCAACACTGTGACCAGGACTATGTTAATGTTTGTTTTTCTCCTCATGAGATTCGAGCTCTTGCTTCTTCGCTCACTGCATGGAAATAGATTCCCTTGGAACAGGTTCTTGCTTCATGCCAATGGAAGTCTTCCAACACTTTTTATCCACCGTTATCTTCGCAATGTCACTCCTGCCCTTGATGGATTGCATTCCCTTGGTCCTCAGGTGGCGGCT